TCCGTCACTCTTCCCTGCTCCATGGCCATCAACACTTTGCTGATTTTGGCCAGCTCCAGTGTCCCCTCTGGTAGTCTGTAATATTGCCTGTGGATGCGAATGTCATGGCCGAGGAAGTTGGCAAGTATGTCCATCTCATTCTCTTTCATATTGAGAACTGTAGACATAGTAGCTATGTGCTTTCTAAGTTTGGTTGAGGATAGCATCTCTGGATGCACCGCACCACATTCTTTGGCTACCTGGCGTAGGGAGTCTGATCCCCTGATGTGGGTGTCTGCGCCCGGGCGGGAAAAGAAGTATGGGTTATGGTCAGAGATGGAACAGGCCCTTCTGTTCTCCACCAGCACCTCCATCGAAGCAATCATTTCAGGAGTCAAAAGAACCGGCACTTTCCGACTTCTTTTCCCTTTAATTTCAATGCGTTGAAAATGCTGACACAGCTTTTTCTCAAGTTGGGACAGTCCCAGAGCAATGTCAGAATGGATCCCAGTCTTACTTCTTAAGGTAAAGGCTGTCAGTGGCATCTTTGAAACCTCACCTTCCCTTCTTCGATTGAAAATAATGACCTCACAAAGAGTCAAAACTGCCAGTTTAGACCAATGCTTAGACGTTGGCTCACTTATTAGGGTTTGCACATATTCAGGTCGACATACCTCAATATGTGCATGCATGGCTCTAACGTCCTCAGTCAGAGGGAGCAGGTCCGGAGTGTTCCACTTGGCTTGCCGGAGGGTCTGTAGGGCAGCAGAAGAAACACAGACGTCCCACCTCTTCTCAAAAAGCAGCCGGCTTCGTTGGAGGTTTTTAATAAATAGTTCATCAACACAATGCTCCATTTTTGAGTCACATTCAAGAATATCTGCTAGCTTTCTGAGGCTATGGCCGAGTTTGAGGGCCAAGGATGGAGTCTTGTATTGATTTGTTTCCTCATCATATCCAGCCACAGACCTGACTGCATCAATCACATGGTTAAAGTTGGAAGGAATAAAGAAATCCTTAATTGTTTTCAGTTTCCCTGCGGTTTTTGCTTCGTTAATTAACCTACCGACTTCTCTCATTTTCTGCCTAATGTAATCATGCTTAGTCTTATCATGCCCGTGTTTTAAGTACAGGTGCTCTCCGAGTCTCAGAATCCCCTTTTCTGCTTTGACAACACCCGTGACCTCATCCTGATGCATTGCCCAAATTAAAGACCACAGCTTTTTGCTGATGCCCTCCGGTACAGGCTGGGCTAGGGAGCAGAGGGACTGGACCCTACTTCTACCTGGTTTAGCCTGGTTTAGCCTGGTTTAGCCTGGGCATCTTTCTGTGAAAGCCGGCACCTGGCCACATGCCTCCACAGCGACTTTCGCTTAAGCAATGCCCCACAGTCTATACAGTGCAAAAACTCACTGGATTTAACTGGGCAATTTGGCTGTTTAGCTGGGACTAAAGTTCCAATGCCGGCCTTTAAAACCTCAAAATTGTGCTCACGGTTTCCACTATTCCTGATCAAATCAAACTGAAGTTTACGTGCTTTAGATTTCACAGGTAGAGCCAATGCTCTGGCTACGTCACTTTCATTTCCATGTTTTCTAGTCAAATGACGGGACATTTTGTGGCAGGACATTGAACAGTAGAGGCAGAAGTGTCTCTTGCTGTATACTCGCCCCCCATTTTTCTTCTTTTGCAGCTGCATGATAACAATCTTATTTGCCTTTGGTTCGTCACTTTCCGAGTCTTGAAGAAAAGTGTTTTTGATTTTTCTTTTTCCATACTTTTTTACAGGTTTCTTCTTGACAGTTAAATCGTCAGAATCTGAGTCGACTTCATCAATTAGGGACTCTTGACTAAGCTGCACAAACAACAAATAATTTGTAATCATTCTATATAACAATTTGAAGTCATGACTTGTAGTCAGCACTTACCAGTGGTTTGTAAGCGTGCGCTTCAGTGTGCTGCTCTGTGATTGGTTGCAGCCTAATGAACCACACACTTGCACCTTTTCTAGCCTGACACCTGATTTCCTCTGTTGTGCTGCTCCATGATTGGCTCCAGCCTGCTGGACTGAAATTGCCCCAGTGTGCCCCTCCTTGATATCCCGCAACCCACCACCAGGGTTCCGACACATAACACACTTTTTTCAGGAAAGTAAACCTCCAGGGGTCCTTTCCATATTTTTACAGAGACTGCATAAGGACCGTTAGAAAAGCATTACCCATTGATTATTAAGCTTGGACCAGTGGGGTCCGGTGTTCGGGCCCCACCACGTAAAACCAGTCCCCATGACGTGAGTGGAATCTCAGGTTATGGAACCCACCAGGAGTTGAAAACAAGTGCACACAGACACACACACACACACACACACACACACACACAGACACAGACACACACACAGACACACACACAGACACAGACACACACACACACACAGACCAGAGACCTCAGACCTCAGACCTCAGTCCTCAGACCTCAGACCTCAGACCACAGACCTCAGTCCTCAGACCTCAGACCACAGACCTCAGACCTCAGACCTCAGTCCTCAGTCCTCAGACCTCAGACCACAGACCTCAGACCTCAGACCTCAGTCCTCAGACCTCAGTCCTCAGACCTCAGACCTCAGACCTCAGACCTCAGACCTCAGTCCTCAGACCTCAGACCTCAGACCTCAGACCTCAGACCTCAGACCTCAGACCTCAGCTGTGGTCTCTCTTGGTTCAGACCGACTGGGCCTGGGCTGAAAACTGTGTTTTCTTCTGTGTCTTGTTTTGTTGTTTTAGTTTTTCTTTTTTAACTTAAACAACTCAAAGTTATGTTTATCTTCTGATCTTTTGGAGAATGTTTTTATGTAACATTATTTTCTTAGTTTATCACTAAACTTTAAACGTGATAAACCATGTCATTTATATTTAAAACAAAGCTTTAGCATAAATAACATAAATATAATCATACATAAATACATAGATAATATGAATACAATAATATATAAATACATAGATAATATGAATATAATAATACTGTATATGAGGTCCTTCCTCAAGTGGAGGAGTTCAAGTATCTCGGGGTCTTGTTCACGAGTGAGGGAGGGATGGAGCGTGAGATTGACAGGCGGATCAGTGCAGCGTGCGCAGTGATGCGGTCGCTGTATCGGACCGTTGTGGTAAAGAGGGAGCAGCGTCTGCAGTCAGAGCTGTATCGGACCGTTGTGGTGAAGAGGGAGCAGCGTCTGCAGTCAGAGCTGTCGTTGTGGTGAAGAGGGAGCAGCGTCTGCAGTCAGAGCTGTATTGGACCGTTGTGGTGAAGAGGGAGCAGCGTCTGCAGTCAGAGCTGTATCGGACCGTTGTGGTGAAGAGGGAGCAGCGTCTGCAGTCAGAGCTGTATCAGACCGTTGTGGTGAAGAGGGAGCAGCGTCTGCAGTCAGAGCTGTATCAGACCGTTGTGGTAAAGAGGGAGCAGCGTCTGCAGTCAGAGCTGTATCAGACCGTTGTGGTAAAGAGGGAGCAGCGTCTGCAGTCAGAGCTGTATCAGACCGTTGTGGTAAAGAGGGAGCAGCGTCTGCAGTCAGAGCTGTATCGGACCGTTGTGGTGAAGAGGGAGCAGCGTCTGCAGTCAGAGCTGTATCAGACCATTGTGGTGAAGAGGGAGCAGCGTCTGCAGTCAGAGCTGTATCGGACCGTTGTGGTAAAGAGGGAGCAGCGTCTGCAGTCAGAGCTGTATCAGACCATTGTGGTGAAGAGGGAGCAGCGTCTGCAGTCAGAGCTGTATCAAACCGTTGTGGTGAAGAGGGAGCAGCGTCTGCAGTCAGAGCTGTATCGGACCGTTGTGGTGAAGAGGGAGCAGCGTCTGCAGTCAGAGCTGTATCGGACCGTTGTGGTAAAGAGGGAGCAGCGTCTGCAGTCAGAGCTGTATCGGACCGTTGTGGTAAAGAGGGAGAAGCGTCTGCAGTCAGAGCTGTATCGGACCGTTGTGGTGAAGAGGGAGCAGCGTCTGCAGTCAGAGCTGTATCAGACCGTTGTGGTAAAGAGGGAGCAGCGTCTGCAGTCAGAGCTGTATCGGACCGTTGTGGTAAAGAGGGAGCAGCGTCTGCAGTCAGAGCTGTATCGGACCGTTGTGGTGAAGAGGGAGCAGCGTCTGCAGTCAGAGCTGTATCGGACCATTGTGGTAAAGAGGGAGAAGCGTCTGCAGTCAGAGCTGTATCGGACCGTTGTGGTGAAGAGGGAGCAGCGTCTGCAGTCAGAGCTGTATCAGACCGTTGTGGTAAAGAGGGAGCAGCGTCTGCAGTCAGAGCTGTATCGGACCGTTGTGGTGAAGAGGGAGCAGCGTCTGCAGTCAGAGCTCCCTCACCTATGGTCATGAGCTGTGGGTAATGACTGAAAGAACGAGATCGCGGATACAAGCGGTCGAAATGAGCTTCCTCCGCAGAGTGGCTGCTCCCTTAGAGATAGGGTGAGGAGCTCAGTCACACGGGAGGAGCTCGGAGTAGAGCCGCTGCTCCCTTAGAGATAGGGTGAGAAGCTCAGTCACACGGGAGGAGCTCGGAGTAGAGCCGCTGCTTCTCCACGTCGAGAGGAACCAGTTGAGGTGGCTCGGGCATCTGTTCCGGATGCCTCCTGGACGCCTCCCTGGGGAGGTGTTCCGGGCACGTCCCACCGGGAGGAGGCCCCGGGGAAGACCCAGGACACGCTGGAGGGACTATGTCTCTCAGCTGGCCTGGGAACGCCTTGGGGTCCCCCCGGACGAGCTGGAGGAAGTGTGTGTGGATAGGGAAGTCTGGGCGTCTCTGCTTAGACTGCTGCCCCCGCGACCCGGCAACGGATGAAGCGGAAGAAAATGGATGGATGGATGGATGGATGGATGAATACATAAATAATATAAATATAATAATAGTGTTTTGTTGCAGGTGCATGTGCTGTGACTAAACCATCAGAACTTTACTCAAGAAGAAAAACCCACTCAAGTGAAAACCTGCGTGTGCCACAAACTACTTCATTACATCACCGCCATAACTCAGCCAATCAGAAATGGCGCCCAAGAAGAAGGCCTCTCGCCAGAAGAAGCCTGTGGAGTGTGTGTCTCCGGGGCCCTGCCTGGAGGCCCCCACCCCCCTGAAGGTGGAGAGCCGCGGGGACGGCGTGGTGGTGGTGGAGGGCGGAGTCAAGAAGATCGAGCAGATGGCGGCGCTGGACATCGCCCAACTGAACAGCCTGAACCTGCCCCTGCCTCCTCCGGTCATCAAGCCCGGGGAGAGGGGCCTTGGCCTGGGCAGCGAGCTCACACGGCCCCTGCACGGCTCCGCGCTGCTGGAGGAGCTCAGCAAGATGAGGCAGGAAAAGTAAGTAGGAGCCGGAGGGAAACCAGTCCAGGGTTTAATGGGATTACACAATGGAGGAAAACTGGTGTCACCTGGTATTGATGGTCCACAACAGAAAAACACAGTGTATAGTGTTCACTATGATGTTTTTGTAAAATCATTTACACATAAGTACTTTTCTAAAGCCGTGTGGGATTAGATTGATCTCCATCTGAAACAAACTCTAAAAGTGAGGGCTTTTGTGAGACATCTGAAAATGTTGAACAAATTATAAAAATGGCTCCTTCGGGAGAAGAAAACCAAAGTGAAATACTAACACTACATTTAAATGATTGTTGATGAAGCCTCACTCTGAGTCTCGCAGGTTCCTGACGGACCTGGAGCTGGCCTGTAAGACCAAAGCCTTCGACGTCCACAAACTGGTCCTCTCCTCCGTCAGTCACTACTTCAGGGAGATCCTGGCCAAAGACCCGGCCATGAAGAGACTGGAGCTGCCCTCCCTCTCTCCTCTGGGTGGGTTCAAGGACCGACCAGAGGACCAAGGACCGACCAGAGGACCGACCAGAGGACCGACCAGAGGACCGACCAGACCAAGGACCGACCAGAGGACCGACCAGAGGACCGACCAGAGGACCAACCAGAGGACCAACCAGAGGACCGACCAGAGGACCGACCGGAGGACCAACCAGAGGACCAACCAGAGGACCAACCAGAGGACCAACCAGAGGACCGACCAGAGGACCGACCAGAGGACCGACCGGAGGACCAACCGGAGGACCAACCGGAGGACCAACCAGAGGACCGACCAGAGGACCGACCGGAGGACCAACCAGAGGACCGACCAGAGGACCGACCAGAGGACCGACCGGAGGACCGACCAGAGGACCGACCAGAGGACCAACCGGAGGACCGACCAGAGGACCAACCGGAGGACCGACCGGAGGACCGACCGGAGGACCGACCGGAGGACCGACCAAGGACCGACCAAGGACCGACCAGAGGACCAACCGGAGGACCAAGGACTGAACAAGGACCGACCAGAGGACCAACCGGAGGACCAAGGACCGAACAAGGACGGACCAGAGGACCGACCAGAGGACCGACCAAGGACCGACCAGAGGACCGACCGGAGGACCAACCAGAGGACCGACCGGAGGACCAACCAGAGGACCGACCGGAGGACCGACCGGAGGACCGACCGGAGGACCGACCAGAGGACCAAGGACGGACCAGAGGACCGACCAAGGACCGACCAAGGACCAACCAGAGGACCGACCGGAGGACCGACCAGAGGACCGACCGGAGGACCAAGGGCCGACCAGAGGACGACCAAGGACCGACCAGAGGACCGACCAAGGACCGACCAGAGGACCGACCAGAGGACTGACCAGAGGACCGACCGGAGGACCGAGGACCGACCGGAGGACCAAGGACCGACCAAGGACGGACCAGAGGACCAAGGTGAGGGAGGGCAGAGAGGTGAGGGCAGAGAGGGAGGGTGAGGAGAGAGGTGAGGGTAGAGAGGTGAGGGCAGAGAGGTGCAGAGGGTAGGGTAGAGAGGAGAGAGGTGAGGGCAGAGAGGTGAGGGCAGAGAGGTGAGGGTAGAGAGGTGAGGGCAGAGAGGGCAGAGAGGTGAGGGCAGAGAGGTGGTGAGGGCAGAGAGGTAGAGAGGTGAGGGCAGAGAGGTGAGAGCAGAGAGGTGAGGGCAGAGAGGTGAGAGCAGAGAGGTGAGGGCAGAGAGGTGAGGTGAGGGCAGAGAGGTGAGGGCAGAGAGGTGAGGGCAGAGAGGTGAGAGCAGAGAGGTGAGGGCAGAGAGGTGAGGGTAGAGAGGTGAGGGCAGAGAGGTGAGGGCAGAGAGGTGAGGGCAGAGAGGGCAGAGAGGTGAGGGCAGAGAGGTGAGGGCAGAGAGGTGAGGGCAGAGAGGTGAGGGCAGAGAGGTGAGGGCAGAGAGGTGAGGGCAGAGAGGTGAGGGCAGAGAGGTGAGGGCAGAGGTGAGGGTAGAGAGGTGAGGGCAGAGAGGTGAGAGCAGAGAGGTGAGGGCAGAGAGGTGAGGGCAGAGAGGTGAGGGCAGAGAGGTGAGGGCAGAGAGGTGAGGGCAGAGAGGTGAGGGCAGAGAGGTGAGGGCGGAGGAGAGAGGTGAGGGCAGAGAGGTGAGAGCAGAGAGGTGAGGGCAGAGAGGTGAGGGCAGAGAGGGCAGAGAGGTGAGGGTAGAGAGGTGAGGGCAGAGAGGTGAGGGCAGAGAGGTGAGAGCAGAGAGGTGAGGGTAGAGAGGTGAGGGCAGAGAGGTGAGGGCAGAGAGGTGAGGGCAGAGAGGTGAGGGCAGAGAGGTGAGGGCAGAGAGGTGAGGGCAGAGAGGTGAGGGCAGAGAGGTGAGGAGAGCAGAGAGAGGTGAGGGAGAGAGGTGAGGGCAGAGAGGTGAGGGCAGAGAGGTGAGGGCAGAGAGGTGAGGGCAGAGAGGGTAGAGAGGTGAGGGCAGAGAGGTGAGAGCAGAGAGGTGAGGGCAGAGAGGTGAGGGCGAGAGGTGAGGGCAGAGAGGTGAGGGTAGAGAGGTGAGGGCAGAGAGGTGAGGGCAGAGGTGAGGGTAGAGAGGTGAGAGCAGAGAGGTGAGGGCAGAGAGGTGAGGGCAGAGAGGTGAGGGCAGAGAGGTGAGGGCAGAGAGGTGAGGGCAGAGAGGTGAGGGTAGAGAGGTGAGGCAGAGAGGTGAGGGCAGAGAGGTGAGGGCAGAGAGGTGAGGCAGAGAGGTGAGAGCAGAGAGGTGAGGGCAGAGAGGTGAGGGCAGAGAGGTGAGGCAGAGAGGTGAGGGCAGAGAGGTGAGGGCAGAGAGGTGAGGGCAGAGAGGTGAGGGCAGAGAGGTGAGGGCAGAGAGGTGAGGGCAGAGAGGTGAGAGCAGAGAGGTGAGGGTAGAGAGGTGAGGGTAGAGAGGTGAGGGCAGAGAGGTGAGGGCAGAGAGGTGAGGGTAGAGAGGTGAGGGTAGAGAGGTGAGGGCAGAGAGGTGAGGGCAGAGAGGTGAGGGCAAGAGGAGGAGGTGAGGGCAGAGAGGTGAGGGCAGAGAGGTGAGGGTAGAGAGGTGAGGGTAGAGAGGTGAGGGCAGAGAGGTGAGGGCAGAGAGGTGAGGAGAGGTGAGGGCAGAGAGGGCAGAGAGGTGAGGGCAGAGTGGGTAGAGAGGTGAGGGCAGAGAGAGTAGAGAGGTGAGGGCAGAGAGGTGAGGGCAGAGAGGGTAGAGAGGTGAGGGCAGAGAGGTGAGGGCAGAGAGGTGAGAGCAGAGAGGTGAGGGCAGAGAGGAGCAGAGAGGTGAGGGCAGAGAGGGTAGAGAGGTGAGGGCAGAGAGGTGAGGGCAGAGAGGGTAGAGAGGTGAGGGCAGAGAGAGTGAGGGCAGAGAGATGAGGGTAGAGAGGTGAGGGCAGAGAGGGTAGAGAGGTGAGGGCAGAGAGGTGAGGGCAGAGAGATGAGGGTAGAGAGGTGAGGGCAGAGAGGTGAGAGCAGAGAGGTGAGGGCAGAGAGGTGAGGGCAGAGAGGGTAGAGAGGTGAGGGCAGAGAGGTGAGGGCAGAGAGGTGAGGGCAGAGAGGTGAGAGCAGAGAGGTGAGAGCAGAGAGGTGAGAGCAGAGAGGTGAGAGCAGAGAGGTGAGAGCAGAGAGGTGAGAGCAGAGAGGTGAGGGCAGAGAGGTGAGGGTAGAGAGGTGAGGGCAGAGAGGTGAGGGCAGAGAGGTGAGGGCAGAGAGGTGAGGGTAGAGAGGTGAGGGTAGAGAGGTCAGAGAGGTGAGAGCAGAGAGGTGAGAGCAGAGAGGTGAGGGTAGAGAGGTCAGAGAGGTGAGAGCAGAGAGGTGAGAGCAGAGAGGTGAGGGCAGAGAGGTGAGGGTAGAGAGGTCAGAGAGGTGAGGACAGAGAGGTGAGAGCAGGACTGACCAAGGACTGACCAGAGGACCGACCAGAGGACCAAGGTGAGGGCAGAGAGGTGAGAGCAGAGAGGGTAGAGAGGTGAGAGCAGAGAGGTGAGAGCAGAGAGGTGAGGGCAGAGAGGTGAGGGCAGAGAGGGTAGAGAGGTGAGGGCAGAGAGGTGAGAGCAGAGAGGTGAGGGTAGAGAGGTGAGGGCAGAGAGATGAGGGTAGAGAGGTGAGGGCAGAGAGGGTAGAGAGGTGAGGGCAGAGAGGTGAGGGCAGAGAGGGCAGAGAGGTGAGGGCAGAGAGGGTAGAGAGGTGAGGGCAGAGAGGTGAGGGCAGAGAGGTGAGGGCAGAGAGGGTAGAGAGGTGAGGGCAGAGAGGTGAGGGCAGAGAGGTGAGAGCAGAGAGGTGAGAGCAGAGAGGTGAGGGCAGAGAGGTGAGAGCAGAGAGGTGAGAGCAGAGAGGTGAGAGCAGAGAGGTGAGGGCAGAGAGGTGAGGGCAGAGAGGTGAGAGCAGAGAGGGCAGAGAGGTGAGGGTAGAGAGGTGAGGGCAGAGAGGTGAGGGCAGAGAGGTGAGGGCAGAGAGGGTAGAGAGGTGAGGGCAGAGAGGTGAGAGCAGAGAGGTGAGGGCAGCGAGGTGAGAGCAGAGAGGTGAGGGCAGAGAGGTGAGGGCAGAGAGGTGAGGGCAGAGAGGTGAGAGCAGAGAGGTGAGGGCAGAGAGGTGAGAGCAGAGAGGTGAGGAGAGGTGAGGGTAGAGAGGTGAGGGCAGAGAGGTGAGGGCAGAGAGGTGAGGGTAGAGAGGTGAGGGCAGAGAGGTGAGGGCAGAGAGGTGAGAGCAGAGAGGTGAGGGCAGAGAGTTGAGGGTAGAGAGGTGAGGGCAGAGAGGTGAGGGTAGAGAGGTGAGGGCAGAGAGGTGAGGGCAGAGAGGTGAGAGCAGAGAGGTGAGGGCAGAGAGGTGAGGGCAGAGAGGGCAGAGAGGTGAGGGCAGAGAGGGTAGAGAGGTGAGGGCAGAGAGGTGAGGGCAGAGAGGTGAGAGCAGAGAGGTGAGGGCAGAGAGGGTAGAGAGGTGAGGGCAGAGAGGTGAGGGCAGATAGGTGAGGGCAGAGAGGTGAGGGCAGAGAGGTGAGGGTAGAGAGGTGAGGGCAGAGAGGTGAGGGCAGAGAGGTGAGAGCAGAGAGGTGAGGGCAGAGAGGTGAGGGTAGAGAGGTGAGGGCAGAGAGGTGAGGGCAGAGAGGTGAGGGCAGAGAGGTGAGAGCAGAGAGGTGAGGGTAGAGAGGTGAGGGCAGAGAGGTGAGGGCAGAGAGGTGAGAGCAGAGAGGGTAGAGAGGTGAGGGCAGAGAGGTGAGGGCAGAGAGGGTAGAGAGGTGAGGGCAGAGAGGTGAGGGCAGAGAGGGCAGAGAGGTGAGGGCAGAGAGGGTAGAGAGGTGAGGGCAGAGAGGCGAGGGCAGAGAGGTGAGAGAGCAGAGAGGTGAGGGCAGAGAGGGTAGAGAGGTGAGGGCAGAGAGGTGAGGGCAGAGATGTGAGGGCAGAGAGGGTAGAGAGGTGAGGGCAGAGAGGTGAGGGCAGAGAGATGAGGGTAGAGAGGTGAGGGCAGAGAGGGTAGAGAGGTGAGGGCAGAGAGGGTAGAGAGGTGAGGGCAGAGAGGTGAGGGCAGAGAGGTGAGGGCAGAGAGGTGAGAGCAGAGAGGTGAGGGCAGAGAGGTGAGGGCAGAGAGGTGAGAGCAGAGAGGTGAGGGCAGAGAGGTGAGAGCAGAGAGGTGAGGGCAGAGAGGTGAGGGCAGAGAGGGTAGAGAGGTGAGGGCAGAGAGGTGAGGGCAGAGAGGTGAGGGCAGAGAGGTGAGAGCAGAGAGGTGAGAGAGGTGAGGGCAGAGAGGTGAGAGCAGAGAGGTGAGAGCAGAGAGGTGAGAGCAGAGAGGTGAGGGCAGAGAGGTGAGAGCAGAGAGGTGAGAGCAGAGAGGTGAGAGCAGAGAGGTGAGGGCAGAGAGGGTAGAGAGGTGAGGGCAGAGAGGTGAGGGCAGAGAGGTGAGGGCAGAGAGGTGAGAGCAGAGAGGTGAGAGCAGAGAGGTGAGAGCAGAGAGGTGAGGGTAGAGAGGTGAGGGCAGAGAGGTGAGAGCAGAGAGGTGAGAGCAGAGAGGTGAGGGCAGAGCGGTGAGGGCAGAGAGGTGAGAGCAGAGAGGTGAGGGCAGAGAGGTGAGGGCAGAGAGGGTAGAGAGGTGAGGGCAGAGAGGTGAGGGCAGAGAGGTGAGGGCAGAGAGGTGAGAGCAGAGAGGTGAGAGAGGTGAGGGCAGAGAGGTGAGAGCAGAGAGGTGAGAGCAGAGAGGTGAGAGCAGAGAGGTGAGGGCAGAGAGGTGAGAGCAGAGAGGTGAGAGCAGAGAGGTGAGAGCAGAGAGGTGAGGGCAGAGAGGGTAGAGAGGTGAGGGCAGAGAGGTGAGGGCAGAGAGGTGAGGGCAGAGAGGTGAGAGCAGAGAGGTGAGAGCAGAGAGGTGAGAGCAGAGAGGTGAGGGTAGAGAGGTGAGGGCAGAGAGGTGAGAGCAGAGAGGTGAGAGCAGAGAGGTGAGGGCAGAGAGGTGAGGGCAGAGAGGTAAGGGCAGAGAGGTGAGGGTAGAGAGGTGAGGGTAGAGAGGTGAGAGCAGAGAGGTGAGGGTAGAGAGGTCAGAGAGGTGAGAGCAGAGAGGTGAGGGTAGAGAGGTCAGAGAGGTGAGGACAGAGAGGTGAGGGTAGAGAGGTGAGGGCAGAGAGGTGAGGGCAGGACTGACCAAGGACGGACCAGAGGACCGACCAGAGGACCGACCAGAGGACCGACCAGAGGACCGACCAGAGGACCGACCAGAGGACCGACCAGAGGACCGACCAGAGGACCGACCAAGGACCGACCAGAGGACCAAGGACCGACCAAGGACGGACCAGAGGACCAAGGTGAGGGCAGAGAGGTGAGAGCAGAGAGGTGAGGGCAGAGAGGTGAGGGCAGAGAGGTGAGGGCAGAGAGGGTAGAGAGGTGAGGGCAGAGAGGTGAGAGCAGAGAGGTGAGGGTAGAGAGGTGAGGGCAGAGAGGTGAGAGCAGGACTGACCAAGGACGGACCAGAGGACCGACCAGAGGACCGACCAGAGGACCGACCAGAGGACCGACCAAGGACCGACCAGAGGACCGACCAGAGGACCGACCAAGGACCGACCGGAGGACCGACCGGAGGACCAAGGACCGACCAAGGACGGACCAGAGGACCAAGGTGAGGGCAGAGAGGTGAGAGCAGAGAGGGTAGAGAGGTGAGGGCAGAGAGGTGAGAGCAGAGAGGTGAGGGTAGAGAGGTGAGGGCAGAGAGGTGAGGGCAGAGAGGGTAGAGAGGTGAGGGCAGAGAGGTGAGGGCAGAGAGATGAGGGTAGAGAGGTGAGGGCAGAGAGGGTAGAGAGGTGAGGGCAGAGAGGTGAGGGCAGAGAGGGCAGAGAGGTGAGGGCAGAGAGGGTAGAGAGGTGAGGGCAGAGAGGTGAGGGCAGAGAGGGTAGAGAGGTGAGGGCAGAGAGGTGAGGGCAGAGAGATGAGGGTAGAGAGGTGAGGGCAGAGAGGGTAGAGAGGTGAGGGCAGAGAGGTGAGGGCAGAGAGGTGAGAGCAGAGAGGTGAGAGCAGAGAGGTGAGGGCAGAGAGGTGAGGGTAGAGAGGTGAGGGCAGAGAGGTGAGGGCAGAGAGGTGAGAGCAGAGAGGTGAGAGCAGAGAGGTGAGAGCAGAGAGGTGAGGGCAGAGAGGTGAGGGCAGAGAGGGTGAGAGCAGAGAGGGCAGAGAGGTGAGGGTAGAGAGGTGAGGGCAGAGAGGTGAGGGCAGAGAGGTGAGGGTAGAGAGGTGAGGGCAGAGAGGTGAGGGCAGAGAGGTGAGAGCAGAGAGGTGAGGGCAGAGAGGTGAGGGTAGAGAGGTGAAGGCAGAGAGGTGAGAGCAGAGAGGTGAGGGCAGAGAGGTGAGGGCAGAGAGGTGAGGGCAGAGAGGGTAGAGAGGTGAGGGCAGAGAGGTGAGGGCAGAGAGGTGAGGGTAGAGAGGTGAGGGCAGAGAGGTGAGGGCAGAGAGGTGAGAGCAGAGAGGTGAGGGCAGAGAGGTGAGGGTAGAGAGGTGAGGGCAGAGAGGTGAGGGTAGAGAGGTGAGGGCAGAGAGGTGAGGGCAGAGAGGTGAGAGCAGAGAGGTGAGGGCAGAGAGGTGAGGGCAGAGAGGTGAGGGTAGAGCGGTGAGGGTAGAGAGGTGAGGGCAGAGAGGTGAGGGCAGAGAGGTGAGGGTAGAGAGGTGAGGGTAGAGAGGTGAGGGCAGAGAGATGAGGGTAGAGAGGTGAGGGTAGAGAGGTGAGGGCAGAGAGGTGAGAGCAGAGAGGTGAGGGCAGAGAGGTGAGAGCAGAGAGGTGAGGGCAGAGAGGTGAGGGCAGAGAGGTGAGGGCAGAGAGGGTAGAGAGGTGAGGGCAGAGAGGTGAGGGCAGAGAGGTGAGGGTAGAGAGGTGAGGGCAGAGAGGTGAGGGCAGAGAGGTGAGAGCAGAGAGGTGAGGGCAGAGAGGTGAGGGTAGAGAGGTGAGGGCAGAGAGGTGAGGGTAGAGAGGTGAGGGCAGAGAGGTGAGGGCAGAGAGGTGAGAGCAGAGAGGTGAGGGAAGAGAGGTGAGGGCAGAGAGGGCAGAGAGGTGAGGGCAGAGAGGGTAGAGAGGTGAGGGCAGAGAGGTGAGGGCAGAGAGGTGAGAGCAGAGAGGTGAGGGCAGAGAGGGTAGAGAGGTGAGGGCAGAGAGGTGAGGGCAGAGAGGTGAGGGCAGAGAGGTGAGGGTAGAGAGGTGAGGGCAGAGAGGTGAGGGCAGAGAGGTGAGAGCAGAGAGGTGAGGGCAGAGAGGTGAGGGTAGAGAGGTGAGGGCAGAGAGGTGAGGGCAGAGAGGTGAGGGCAGAGAGGTGAGAGCAGAGAGGTGAGGGTAGAGAGGTGAGGGCAGAGAGGTGAGGGCAGAGAGGTGAGAGCAGAGAGGGTAGAGAGGTGAGGGCAGAGAGGTGAGGGCAGAGAGGGTAGAGAGGTGAGGG